CCTATAAAGAAAAGGTGTGTTTATTATAAGCCTAATATAGGCACTTAATGAATTTCATTTGTGTTAATAACCATAACCTTAATGGTATTCCATGATTGTTAATTAATTCTCTCTTTTTCCCACTTTCATTCACATAAGGGAGATGGTCAAACAAGGAATACAAAATCCAAAGCATTGGAAGAAAAATGTGCAGGTAGCCGTGAGAGTTGTCTTAAAAAGTACAGTCATGAGCCAAAAGGTGAAGTGGCCTGCAAAAGAAAGGTGTGTTTATTATAAGGTTAATATTTTAAATTGTCTATCTCCAGTGCTGATAGGTTTCTTCTTTGAAAATCAAAATACTTGATAAGTGAAATCGCAGCTTGATAATAACAATGTTAAGGACATTTTCATTCTTGGCAGGCTCTGAAGCAAACAAATGAAAGATTGCCTGATCTCAATCCGTTTGCAAATATTTGTCAATGCTTAGCATGATTTAGTATTTACATCAGATCAAGGTTCATATGCTTGAAAAAAACTGAGAATAAATATCATATCAAACTAAAAAAATCAGCATCATCAGCTAGTCTTGATCACTGAGGGTTGTGTAGTTTCAGAAAATATCCATACCCACATGTGCCCAAGGGAAGGTTATTGGATTTCAGGGGGTAGATGAGGGACTCCACCATAAAAACCTTTGGGGCATATGGTTATTTTCTGGAGCCTCATTCCCCAAACCAATATAAGGTAACAAACTAATAGAAACTAATGAAAGAACACTCATATGAAGTATGAAGTTGCAAAACTTATTTGGCATGAAAAAATAAAATGGTCTGTCTCTTGGCACGATTTTATTCCTAGGGTGATGCTCAGGAGGCAAAGACCGAATTATTAAAGGTGGCAAAAGAAGGCAGAAATATGGCCATTGCCAATGTTGTTCAAGACAAAGGAGCCTGTAAAGAAAAGGTGTGTACTTATCAAAGGTGACTTGCATTGATGCAGATCAAAAGTAACCAGTATATCACCTGATCAGAGACAAAAGTCAGTTTTAATTATTAAATCTGTCTTAGGAATTGATCGAAAGTGATGACAACAGTGTGTATGATGGAGACAATGATGAGTCAGAAGCAAAAATTTACAATGAAGAGGCTAAGGCCGCCCATGCGACTCACCTCAAGTGCTCATTCTGTCAACACGAACAGGAGGTAAGTGTTTTTTTTTATTATTGTTTAATTCAGCAATGACCGGCGAAAATGGGGTTTATTGAGCAGGCTCTTTCATTGGAACGGGGCGTGTATCAAGAGACACAAAGAGTTATTCAAGGTTTTCTTCTGTTTGTTTTGATGTGGTTTGACTCTCTAAAATGGAGTACATTGAATTGTTACGAGGACAGTTTTACACGCGAATGTAATTCAAAGTTAACAATAGAAAACTGGTTTGGTAATATTTTACAAAGCTGCAAGGGCTTCAAAGCAAAAACGGTGCATGAAATATTCTTTGGGGACGCTGTTTATGCTTACGATGAGAACTGTACTCCCACGTACGCGTGCGCAAACAAACTTGCGAGCACAGCCTGAGTACATATGTTAATAATGAATGACAAAGCCTGTGGTTTGTTCCTCAATGGTGAATTGTTTCTGCGTCGTCATTGTTGCAGATTGGTGAAGACAGTGGAAAATGTCGCAGCTGTGGAGCTCAGATGTCTGCGTATTTCTGCTCAATCTGTAAACATTTCACAAGTGTTGATAAGAATCCTTACCACTGTGAAAAATGCGGAATATGTCGGTAAGGAATATGATCAAATTTTAATTTGCTGAAAGATTTTTCCCATCAACATGCTTATAAACCCATCTTTTCCCATTGCGTACAAAAACGACATATTTCTTTTCATGAACTTCTACGTCTTGTAATTTCACATGTGTAATATCTGTCTTCGATCATATTCGTGTCTTTCATTCTTGCCTTTAGCTAGAAACAATAATATTATTGTAGTTGTCAGTTGACAGAATTGGGCTTACAGCAAAGAGTTGAGTTCATTTCTTTTATGGAATTTGACTTCATGTCAGTAATTATCAGGGATTTCGATGTCATCTCGTTTTCAAAATGGTGATAGTTAACAGAGCTGCAAAAGGGTTACTTTTAAGTTCCTTTCATCCCTAATTATAATTTTCCATTTGCCACTTATTTCAGTTCTATATCAATATGAAATGTATTTTTTTATTATTTCTTCTTTAGAATCCACAAGGATAAATCATTCCACTGTGAGGTGTGTAATGTCTGCCTGGACAAACGTCTTGAAGGAAAACATAAGTGCAGAGAGAATTCTGGGCACGATGAATGCTGTATCTGCTTAGAGGTGAGTGGTCATTTTAACGTAACTTTCCCGCCATAGGAAACTTACTTTTCTGGCATATGCAACTCACGCTTGCAAAGTTCACGTTTTCTCGCCGCACGTTGCCCGCGTTTTCCCGCCGTAGAAAATCTGTGTTTTCCCGCCATAGAAAATCTTCGTTTTCCCGCCATAGAAACTCCGCGTTTTCCTACCGCACGTGACTCACGTTTTCCAGTCAATTGTTTCTTCTGCCACAATTGACTCGCCCGTTCTCGTTTTCCTTACTCATGCTTTTCTGCCCATCTCTTGTATTTCAGGTATACAGAGTTTTTACTTAGTCTCCTTACCTGACTTGCCTCTTCTTGACACAATTTTGTGTTGCCCTGCCATGCAATTCTTCTGTTTTCTCGTCATAAATCTATACCGTATCTCACACTTTCCTGTTAAGGTACCTTTCACGTGACACTCGTGTCTTGTTCACCACACTTATTATGTTATCTTGTTATCGTTGGTTTGTGTAGGATGCGTTCAGTGGTTGCCAAATCTTACCTTGTTCACATAAGGTACATCGGGAATGCGCCATCGCTATGATACAGAACGGAATGTAAGTACATCGAACATACTGTAGTACTTAGTTCTTTTCCGTATAATATATTTTTTACTTGAAACCGCATTCGCTCTTGGCTTCCCAGTGGATTCATGATTCCGGCGCATATTGAACAGTCGACTCTATTTTATTAATAGAATATACAGATTTTGTCGATTACTCGTAATATTACTATGGTGGCTTCTGTTAATCCCCCATCTCCTTGTCCTTCCTTGAAAAGAATGTTATAATTATCTTTCGCATAGCTTCTCTTCTATCATTAACACAAACTAGTGGCTGTTTTCCCGTTTGTTTGGAAGTAAGTGTAAATTCGTTGCAAAGCTATTCAAGTGCGAATACGCCAATGAATGAGTTGAACTAATGAGTTGACTAAATTGTGAAGTCGGCTCCCATCGAAAGTCATCTCGTTCTCTTTGTGATGAGGCGACCAGGAGTATTGCTACTCCCTTCTTGATGGAATGCTTGTCCATGGGTCCATCGCATGTTACCCTGCGTTGCTTGGCAATCTGTCTTTCTTGAGAACACAACACGGTGAACCCGGTCTGGGCTCGAAACTAGGCACTGGGCACTACACGTAAGGCCACGTGTGTTGAGTAATTGAAAGACGTCCCAAAAGTAAAAATGGATATGAAACAAAACAAACGGAATTGACTCACTGTCTATTCTTTTGCTTTTAGTCGCACGTGCCCAGTGTGTCGACACCCACTGTACAGCCCAGCTTCAGAGTGAACTTCGATTCCAAACAAGCTTTTACTTGATGTCGAACTATTTGATGTCGCGGATTTTCCAGATCAGAAAGAAAAATTCAGAATCAATCAAGTCTCCAGAGTAAAGCAATGCAAATGGAAAATTGGGAACATAAAGAAGGCCATTCCCGTATCTTGATTAAGGAGGATTGTTGTGTTAAATTGAGATGAAGCTACTGGGTGCCACTACCGGTGTGATCTTTGTTGATTTTCGCGTCCTCTCAAAGATAGCCTTTTGTCGGATAAACTCCTGCTTTCCAAACCGTTTGCAGTTAGTGCCACCTCACTTGTGATATTAACACTCAGAATACAAACTCTGGCCTATACTAAGATGACTAGTGAGGAAGGAATAGTAAAAAGCGCCAGCTCGGAAAGAGAGACCTGACTCCCAATGACCACGCTCTGTGTCGAGCTCACAATTTCAAACCTTCGTTTAGCTTTTCGCTAAACGAAGGAGTTGATTACTTTGAAGACGAAACAGAATTGAAAAGAATTGCTTCTTTCCCATACCCATAGTAAGGGGTATGGGATAATTCAATAATTCTTAATGCTAGTGCCCGTTAATGGCGTTCGTTTTGTTTGGAAAGCTTATCTTTATTTATTGTACAGTTGTATAAGAATTACATTCTTCAAAATTATAATTTCTGTAAAAGATATCAGTTTATATTAGTGCTGTGTTAGTGTAAAAATCCTAGTCTTAATTTTATGCACCAGATTTGCTGAACGGGTTGAAAATGTCAACTACAATTGATAAAAATTATCGTTCTTTAATTCATTTAAATACCTTTAAATACCTTATTTCATTATTCATCACCTTTGTTTCTGTTAAACTACTTCAAAAAACCAGGCACATGCTTACCATATTTGTAGAGCATGGTATAATGGCTCATAACCCAGGATGGCTAAGCTAATGAAAACCCTTTAATTGCATTACCCAATGATCCACTCTTAAATAATGAGCATTATTTACTCCCCCATGGGTAAATAATGCGTGATCCAAACAAAAACAGAATGGCCGACAAAAACTTGTTTTGCCAGTGTTTCGATAACGGAAATCCTGAGAATATAAAAAGATAACAGAAAATACGAAAAAGTTTTTGAAGGTTAGAAAAGACTTGCTGACTTTCGACTTTCGAGCAGTTTCAGGGCATGTCCTTGGCAATCACAGAACTCATCAATCTAAGCAAACGCTACCGCCAAGTCGCTCTTCACCTGACATTCGCAGAAATTAATACTGCAGGGTTCATCGGCAGAAGCACTCCAGTGCTATTCAATGAAGCACCTCCACAAGTATGCCGGAGAATGTCTTTGTGCAATAAAACATCCAGTTTCCACCACAGTCATATGCACACGGTATTATTTCTGGTTAATCATTCGTCAGCTGCTCTTTCAATTTTCATTTCAAGTGAAAATGAAAACTTTGATTGAACAGTGAAATTTTTTTTGCAAGCAGACTTTCCATTCAGATTGCTGATTTGAACGGCGTGTAAAGACCATTTTGCTAGAAAGTGATCAATGAGAATTTTATCGCAGGTTAACTTGATTTGCCATGTTAGAAGATTCTGTGAATAATTGCACACATGCTTTATGCCGCTTGCACGTTTACCATGCATGAATTGAGAGGTCAAGTAAATTAACTTTTTATTGTTTCTTTTTTGTCTGTTGTTGAGATCACTTTGTGTGTATACACTTAAAACAATTACTCTTGTCAATCTCGGTGAATGACAGCCACTATTCACTTCGATTTCAAACAATAATTCAGTATTAAACTTCCATACCAAAACATTATGATCTACGCATTTTTGAGAAGTCAAATCCCAACCAGGTTGCATTATCAAACTGTAATTTTTCTGACTTCAAACATTTTCTTTTATCTATTACTGGGGGATCCTGAAATACTTATTCCATGCATTCAATACCTTAATTATGTGAATATTATTTCATCTCTCTGATTTGAAATCTTTTTATGAAAGGGGAGACATCATTTAGTATCATCTTCAAAGAAGATGACATTCATTTCATCCACGAAAAAAACTTCAAGTTGATGTTCATGACCACACTGTCTCAAGCCAGATAATCAAATCATTAAAAGAGAGAAGAGCGATGAAAATCTAGGTCTAACTGTGTAAAAAAAGGGAAAAATGTAAAATTAAAATAAGCTATACTTTGGCTTCGCCCTAGCTTTGAATACTTATTACATTGCAAGAAGAAATGTCATTAACTTAGTATCTTCATTGTTTATACATTGTACAATACTGTGTAGAGCATTGAAGACTACACAACTTCTTTCAACCATCTGAAAGACCCCCAATCTCGTTGTGAATACCTCAGTCATTTTGCTAGCTTTGTAACTGGGAAATTTAAATCATGTAAGACAAAAAACCATGAACAAATTCATGAAGCACAACGAAAGGACTGTTCCTACTTGAGGTTTTACTCGGTAAAAAAAAAAATAGAAACGCTAATAATTTTACCCTCATCATCAGACTGTCTAACTCTTATAATTCATAGATGCAGATATCTGTGAATAATTAGCCAAATCCTTTAGCAGGTACTTGTACATTGTACAAGTACTAAACATTTCGGTAAACCACAATTCCACGGTGGACTTCAGAATATTAATTACAACACAAGGTAAATGTACAATGCTTGTCAAACAACGGACTTCAAAAAAGTATTTTCAACCAAACAACACACCAAAAAGAACCCGACAGAACGTCACGACGCACATGTCATACCTGTTGTGAGTTGTGGAGAAGACAATGAAAGTGGAAATGATGACTGAGAAAGCCAGTCTGGTGAAACATCCACTCACGACGATGATGATGACAATGAAGATTCTTACAGCCGCCAAGTAAAGGAGATTCAGAGGAAAGCGATATCTCGCTTCCCTGTACGTTACAGAGCTAAGTCATGCAGATTGTTCCAAGTTGATCAATCCAGGCCTTTCAAAAGAGGCTTTACGAAAATCGCTCCAGTAACATACGACTAAATCAACAGCCACTCAAAAACAAACAAAGCGATACCAATCACGAGTAAGTTACATGACTGTTGGAGTAAACGGATATTTTTCAGGAGCATGCAGTTTTCGTTTGTTCGCCCAAAACATGCTGTCCGAAGATCTATCGTGACTCAGACCATCGGGACATTTTCTTCGACTACCATGAAACATCTGTTCCGTTAATTTTAACTTGAATCAATACTTGACGCGGCAAATTTAACAAATCGAATGTGGTTTAGCGTGGTCTGTTAAACAAATAGATTCCATGTTGCCGTGCGTCTGTTCAGTAATAGATCACAGATGACGTCAAAATGTGGTAAGAACAAGTAAGGAGCAAGTTGCACCCTTTGTGCTAGACTATTTTAGGTGCNTAGATTCCATGTTGCCGTGCGTCTGTTCAGTAATAGATCACAGATGACGTCAAAATGTGGTAAGAACAAGTAAGGAGCAAGTTGCACCCTTTGTGCTAGACTATTTTAGGTGCACGTTTAGGCATGGTACAATAGAGAAATCGCAAAACTCAGAAACTTGGTTAGATGTGATATGGAGAGGAAGACAATAGCATTTTGATTGCAAAATCTTTGTTCGGTTTAAACATTAGCTATGTTACGCAAAAAATCAATCATCACTTAAAAAAATGTCACGCAATCAATACAGCAAGAACCAAGCTCATGCAAAATTAGCATCAAATTAATAGCCCAAACATCATAGCACATAACAGGAGTCCAAAATTATTACTGCACTTCGCGCTTTTGCCAGAACTGCGTGGCATTGAAAAAAATCAAATAGTTAGCTGCTTTATTTCAGATCATGTTCAGTCAGCGCTACCCGGCATTAAATCGCCCGGCCGTAGGATCCTACAGCCTCTACATGACGCGGTGAGGAGCGCAATTTCATTCGTTTCATGGCTTGCTGTCCCCGATGTACGGTATAACAGTCCTTATTGATGTTTTTAATGGCAGAAGCTTTAAATGACAATGGTCTTGATTTGAGACGGCTGTAAATTGTGACATCACCCTTAGAGTTCCCTCACCCGACCATACTCATACTATAGTACACGGCCAGGAGTCCAATTTCATTCTCTTCACAGCTTCCAATCTGGCTTTCTGCGATCTGCGGAGCTCACAGTTTTTTATCGGTTATTTCCATTCAAGGAGAAATTCCCTTATTCGAGGCGACCTCAGAAGTTTAATTTTTCACCGAGGGCTACCCATCATTAAATCGCCCGACCGCAGGATCCTACAGACGCTACACGACGCGGCCAGGAGCGCAATTTCGTTCCTTTCATGGCTTGTTGTCCCCGATGCACAGTATAACAAGCCCTATTTACTTTTATTTTTATAGCAGAAGCTTAAAGTAAATGACAATGGTCTTGATTTGAGACGGCTGTAGAATGCGACTTCAACAGTTTGAGTTATCCGGCATGAACTCACCCGATCGTAACCATACTATAGTACGCAGCCCAGCTTTCTATCTCCGATTATCGGCGTTAGCGAATATGTTTCATTCAAGAAGAGTAGATGAAACGAGAAATGGCCTTATTTTAGGCGACTTTAGAATATAGTACGCTGGACAAAACTGTTCTGGATCGACGTTTTTCCGCGAAAATTAAAACAAACATACTGACACAAAACATTTTGAGATTTTCTTAAACTTTACATGTGGAAACTTATTTTTATATGGATCACGCAAGAAAGGCTTGCGTTACACCTTGTCCAAATTTGGTAACTGATTGACATAAGTATTCAAAATCACGTGATTTCTGAGAAAAATGAGTCTCATTTTATGACCTTTATGTGCTGGTGGATGTTTTTGTCACGATTTTGACAAGAAAGCATGAGAAAGACTTAAGCTTATTTGGCCACTGAAATACAATATGATCTTGGTACTCTGAAGTCTTAAAACTGTTCTTGCCACTAGATCGGTCTTGCCTGTTTTGAAGATGGCTGCCTTTATCGCGCTTCGTACAAGCCACAATTTGCTCAGAATTCTGCTCTCTTAAGGCGTTGTCAGCCAATAACATCAGGCACTGCTATTTGCACTTTTAGAAATGTTTACGGACTTGTTTCTGGACCGTGACCTGCATCTCACAGAGATTTTTTCGGATTTTCTTGCATGACAGCTTGAAATAACTTTGTTGGGTTGCTTTGTGGCCCTTCAGTAATAGCATCAAAAAGTGAATCTTTGATTCTTTAAACCGCTGATGTATCACAGGGTTATAGTGCTGTTTAAGGTATTTTCAACCGTTTTGACCATCGGTAACGGCCTATATTTCGGCCACTTTGATTAGAAATGAGGTATGTTTTGCAGGATTGTCTTGAATTAGGTTTGTCAGTTTTAAGAAGAAGCTACTTCTTTCTCAGTTTCGATATTACCATTAACAGAAGCCCTTGACTTGTCTGCACAATTTCACAGTGGTCTGAAGTTTTGAAACAGGGTATTGCATTAAGGCTCAGGTAGGGAAAACCTCGGATTTCGGTCATTAATAGGGCGAGGGTTTTGGGAAGCTTACCGCACCAAATGTAACCACTTTTAACAACTCAATACAAGGCTAGAACTCTTCCTCTTAACATTGCTCTCCACCAGGGAAAAAAGCTACAGTAGTCAGTTCTGGGTCTTAAGTTCTAGTGCGAGCCAGCAGCAGGACAACCTGTTAGAAAAACCCTCAATCTTCGCTTTAAGTGCTTAAAACTGAAAACAAACAAAATCGATGACCCTTTCCCCGTGATAACAATGATCAGACGCAACTGTTTTTTTTTTTTTCAGTTACAGCAACTCCACTGGAAGCCACGTTCTTTCGTTTGTCATAGTTATTTACTTTTTTTTACTTTTCTTACCTACCCTTGAGCTCCATTCCTCTATTTTCGCGTTACTTTTGTACTAGAGTACAGATACTACAGATACTACAGGTACTACAGATACTACAGATATACTACAGATACTACAGATACTACAGATATACTACAGATACTACAGATACTACAGATACTACAGGTACTACAGATACTACAGATATACTACAGATACTACAGCTACTACAGATACTACAGGTACTACAGATACTACAGATATACTACAGATACTACAGATACTACAGATACTACAGATACTANATAGAGATGATATTGTAATGTTGAAGTCTTTCTAAGTAAGACACAGAGTGTTAACAGTTAGTTGGGTCAGTTATGGAAGCCCTGGTATTGAGATGCAAATAAATGTTGAGTTAAAATTTGCAAACAATGTATTCCTCTAGTCTGAGAATTAAAGCAGAGTCTAGCTAAAATCAAATCCTGATAACTCATGGTAAAAGTACGAAAACCATAATGTAATTCAGGTATTTCCCATTTATAGCAACAATGGTTATAACAAATAAACCATCAAGTATTCCATGTATTTCCCATTCATAATATTAATGGTATTATCACAATAACCATCATGTAATTCAGGTATTTTCCATTTACAACATTAATGGTATAATAACAATAACCATCATGTATTGAAGGCATTTCCCATTCAAACCATAAATGGTATTTCAACAATAACCATAAAGTATTTAGGCATTTCCCATTACCAGAGAGGTCGCTTTTCAACATGGAAATAAGGCAATAACCATGGTGTTAACTAAAATTCCATTAATGGAAAAAAACATTTTTCTCACAATTTTGCATAAAGTGTAATCCACTCATTTCCCATTACTGTTAAATAGATTCCCATTAATGGAAATAACAAGAAACCATTGATGGCAATTATTCGCCTTTACCATTAATGGGAATTCACAATGGTAAAAGTACTTTTTCCCATCTTCAAAACCATTAATGGGTTTTTGAATTTTTTTCCCTGTGAAAACCTGAATGATATACTACTATTACAGCTAACAAGCCAATGAAAACTCCAACTGTATTATGCAATGATCCAGTTTTAAATCAAACTGATTGTATATATGGCTTACCAAATTTAAATAAGACAGATCCATACATCGCATCAATGTATGGTCAACAATGTTAATTAACAAAAATAGCGCAGAAATCATTGTCTAAATCTCCAAATAATTATAATAAGCTTACTTTTCGAACAATGTGATTATGATTTCTAAATACAGTAAACAAATGCAAATCAACTCTAATATGGTAATTTCTTTCACTTTTGAATATCTAATTTAGACAAAGAGAAAAGGTCACAGTTCATATTCAAACTGAGGCGAAGAAGCGTACTTACTCAAAAGGGCAAAAATATATTCTGCAAATCGACGGCTTTACAGTCAACTGATCGTTGAATGACCTCTTCCATGACTTACATTTGTAAACAAGTAATTCCACTAATTTCATCCACAACGTAAAGCGATGAAATATCACCAATGGAGACATTTTAAACTTCTGACCGTTCAAAGCAATGAATATTGGCTTTTAAAAGTACAACTGCTCCTGCAGAACCTACACTGGACACATGCCAAGTCTGTCG